CGTTCTTCGGACATTGAGTGTGATACATTCAAGGAAAAAGCTTTAAAAGATCGATCAATGGAGGCTATTGTTATTGCATCCAAGAGAAGTCTTCTTCTATTCTTCATTGTTATTGTCAGTCTCTTTCTGAGCCCGAACTTCACGTATGTCTCTGCCTTTAACTACACCAAACGACACAGACAAGTCAGTAGCTTGAGATTTGAAAGGATCCAAAAGCACTTGAACATGATCAACAAGCCTCCTGTCTTCACCATCCAGGTTATTATATATATGTACATGTTTGCAAAAGCATTTGTATCTGATTTGTCTAAATTTAATTAGTATGTCAAAATATTAACCTTTTGTTCTAAAATAATAATTTGCAGAGTCCAGATGGTGATGTAATAGATTGTGTACCCAAAAGAAAGCAACCAGCTTTGGATCATCCACTTTTAAAGCATCACAAGATTCAGGTAATTCTAACCAGGCAACTTTTCCTTATTTCAATTATATATTTATTTCTATATGTATTAATATTTCTCTTAAATGTATTAGCATCTACATTCTCCAAACTTATGAATAGTTAAACAAACATTTACGTTATTTGTAAACTCATTTTAAAAAAAATAGTACTAAAGCTAGCTAATAAACATAACTATGCTGGAAACATATCATTGATAGCAATTAATTAGCACGACTAGCTAACATATTTATTATGAATATCATATAAAATAGTTACAATTTTAACTTTTATAATAAACAATTTTTTTTAAAAACATTTGAACACCTTTTTGGTTTAGGTAAAGCCAAACTATAAATTTTATGAAAAAATTGTAAATAACTCAAAGTATGATGTTAACGAATTTGATGTGACAAGTTTTACGAGCATTGCTTGGTAATTGGTAAATTATATAAAATTTAAACAAAATAAGTTGTTCGATGATAGTCAAGCGGTTTATGATATGAGAACTTAATTATGATTAATAATGCAGAAAGCACCGAAGAGAATGCCGAGGATGATGGGAAAAGAGAGAAGCGATGATATTAAAGAAGACGCAGCGAATGTATTGGAAAGTGCATGGCAAATGTGGCACGTGAACGGCACGAGGTGCCCCAAGGGGACTGTTCCCATACGACGCAACACAATGAACGATGTGCTCAGAGCCAAGTCTTTGTTTGACTTTGGCAAAAAGCGACGGAGTATTGACCTTGATCGACGGTCAGAAAAGCCTGATGCCCTCGGCACTAATGGACACGAGGTACACTGGATTATAAATCTCCTCTTTTCACTCTCTCGGATGCAACAAACATTTTTGGTTGATATAATGGAATATAGCTTAATAATCAAACTGATCAAATCTTTTGCTTTAAAAACGAGTTTTTTTTTTCCGTTGACAGAAGAAAACAGAAATATTTTTTTTATTCACATATTTTGTTGATGCATACAGCATAGATACACCTAAATTTCAACGTTTATGTGAATAGTCTATGTAATCATTTAATTATGGACCCATATAACAGTTTCTGATGTCAGTGTCATTAAATTAAAGTCATAAAAGATACATAAAGCATAGCTATTCAATGGATTTTAAGATCTGGTCTCGTTATAATAATTCTTGAATCATACAACTATATATTAGTACTCCGTAAAATATACATATAAATGCACGGTCTTTCCAACGCATATATTGGGATTGTAAATATGATTTAGTAGAAGTTAATCTTGAAGTACACATACTATAAGATAAGATCTATGGTAAAGATTTCGAATTGAAAAAATAGTACTTAATTGAAATGTTTGGTGGCCCGGGAATGATAGCATGCGATCGCGTATACGGAAACATCGTCGGAGATATATGGAGCAAAAGCTACGATAAACGTGTGGGACCCAAAGATTGAAGAAGTGAATGAGTTCAGTCTCTCACAGATTTGGATTCTCTCGGGATCTTTCGTCGGTCCTGATCTCAATAGCATCGAAGCTGGCTGGCAGGTACGGTTTTTTTTTTTTTTTTTTTTTTTTTTTTTTTACTATTTTACCTTTCTATAAGATAATATCTTCAATCTTTCGAGAAAATAGGATTACTTTCAATCTCTCAAAGAATTATTGAGTTTTTAAGTTAATGACTATGTGTCTAAAGCTCTGATTGTTCTACTAGTCAGGTCAGTCCGGAGCTGTATGGTGACAATAGACCAAGATTGTTTACTTATTGGACGGTATGTTGTTGTCTTTTACTGTTTGTTTGTTTTATATTATGATGCAAACATTGTTAGCACTTTCAGTAATTAAACTGACTATCTTTGAGAAGTAAGATAGACTTTAATGTATTGCTTGTAAGAACATTCATGTGACAGTGGGTGTAGTTTCTAGGTGTAGTTCAGTGTCTAATTATGGTATATATCTTGCATTTTCAAAATTACCAAATATTGCTTCGAAGGCAAACTTCCAAATATTATACTTTATATATTTGTATATGTATAGTTACTTTTCTGAAATTGTATTAGTTATCTAGAAATTTAGTGACACTGCGCATGAAACTTATGATAGGGTAAACTGAAAGTAAGTTAAAAAAAACTCTGAAGGTAATTTTTATTTGTAACATTCTTACAGGTAACTTTAATGTGTAGTGTTGATCAATTTGAAGTTAATGGTAGAACACAGTCATCATGATAATGTTTGGTGTAGAGCATTTATTATTGCATTAATAGCTTATTATTAATGGGATTGATACCAGTCCAATTTCTGTACTACTCTCCAAATCATTAAATTTGGTTCTGCCTAAAAGCTAGAAAAAGGATGACATATCTACACATATATTTTGGTGGTAAAAATTTGAAAATATATGTTAAACTGGTACTTGATCATTGCTTGGTGAAACATTTTATTTGTTTGTTTGAGCTTACCCTAAACTAATGACAACTTTGTATTGTTAGAGTGATTCATATCAAGCAACAGGATGCTATAATCTTCTGTGCTCTGGATTTATCCAAACAAATAACAAAATTGCCATTGGAGCAGCCATTTCTCCTCTCTCTTCTTTTAAAGGAAACCAATTTGATATCACCATTCTCATTTGGAAGGTTCGTCTCTCTATCTTTTTCTTTATTTATCTCATATATATACGATTGCTCTAATATTATGAACGTCTTAGATTGTGGATGACATATCACATTCCACAGTACAGTGTGTAGTGAAGACCGTATATATTCAAACATGCAACTCGTGCATTCGAACATGGCATCAAATGAAAAATTACCTTATTATAATAAAAAAATGAACTTTTTTAAAATGTGTATACATTGAGTTTCATAAAAAATAAAAAAATTGAACACGTCAAATATATAAATGTAGTAAAACATTACTTAAAATTTAGAATCTCCAAATAATTTGAGATAGTCCGCGTTGCAGCAATAGATATTGATTTTATGTCGGCAAATTTCCAAAACAAAAAAAATACAGTTTCGTAAATGTTGACTAATAGCTATAGTAAAGGTTTTATTCTTTGGCTTTGTTTTTTACGAGTCAAATGAAAAAATCATGAATCATTTATTTCAAAAGAAAGTGTTTTTTAATGAAACTCAATTTAAACTGCTTGCAGGATCCAAAAGCGGGGAACTGGTGGATGGGTTTAGGAGACAACACGCTGGTCGGATATTGGCCAGCAGAGCTATTCACGCACTTAGCCGACCACGCAACCACCGTAGAGTGGGGAGGTGAGGTCGTGAACACACGTGCTTCAGGCCGGCACACGACGACCCAAATGGGTTCTGGTCATTTTCCGGACGAAGGATTTGGGAAAGCAAGTTACTTCCGGAATTTAGAGATAGTAGATTCCGACAACAGTCTCGTACCGGTGCGTGATGTCAAGATAGTAGCCGAGAACATCGAATGTTACGACATTAAGAGTTCGTATAGTAATGAGTGGGGAACTTATTTTTACTATGGTGGGCCCGGGTTTAATGCTAGGTGTAACTGAAATAAAAACTGTACATATAGTTTGCGTTGGAGAGAGTTGGGGAAAAAAGGAAGTCGAATGTGTAATTTTTTTTTTTTTTTTCAAGTATGGGTAGTGAAAATTGAATATTGGCTTATTGTTTTTTCATTTGTCGTTGTTGTTGGTTAAACGTAGTAATTTATTGCATTCATAGGGAAAAGAAGAGAATGTATGCAACACATATATTTAGTTCCTAGTTTCTTGATTACACCTAGAGATTTGAGTTCAAACTTCAAAACATACAATATTTTTATAAGATTTGTTTGCTGCAAACATAGCGGACCACAGAAACCAAAGACTTTGTGATCCAATGTAATGATAACCCTAGAGAGACGTATGAATCGAAATTCACTTTATATCAAAATCTCTGTTAAAAGGTTTGTGTGGAAGATTTCGATACACGTTAAAATTCGAAGACTTGGAAAATTATTCCTTAAGTCGTTAGTGCTTGGAATTAGTGATTAATCTCTATTCATTAATTCAGCCAATTGCATAGCGAAAGACCCCACGTAGTTTCCATTTTCCACACTAAATAAAGTTTCTGTCAAATGACAAAAATTGATTACAAGCGCAGAAGGATTATACAGTATATAGGTTGAATCTTTGTTTTTGAGTTAAATGTTTACGATCTCTTAACTTATTCGCTCTATCTTGTGATTGTTTTTATTCATCCGCTAAATTTATATTAGAAGATTCTTTTCAGAAAACATAAATTAGAAAATATGATCAAAGCCAAAGTAAAATGAAGTAGGACCAAATCCATTTAGCTGTCCGAAGGACAAAAATATGACCTCAATCTTAACCCACTCTTTGGTCTTTGATTGAAACTTCTACCTCTGAAAGAAACTTTCATAAAAAATTTCGAAAGAAATAAGAAATTTCTTAGGTAGTCTCTCCATCACATTATTTAAAGCATACCAGACTTTTTTTTTGTAACAATGAGAGGCCAAAGTCTCTTCTCTCCTTCACCTATTCAAACTTCTATGAAAGTCATAGAGAGACTGAGAGTGTACAAAGGGACAAACGGTGCTATAAATTTCTCTTAAGAGTTAAGAGACAGCTTAAAGTGAAACAAACACTTAAACCAAGCATGGCTCTTTCACCCATTCTTATTCCCCTCCTTCTCATTCTCACACCGATCTTTCTCGAGTTGGTTCTCGCCATTTCACCACACAAAACCGACACATTGAAACCGGGGCAGCATCTCAGAGATTGGGAGCAGTTGATCTCCGCGGGTGGCATCTTCATTCTCGGATTCTTCACGCCCAAGGAATCATCTACTTTCGTACTTGGGTCAGCTGGCAATAGGTATGTTGGTATCTGGCCTCAAAAGGTTCCAATAAATCCAGTTTGGGTGGGTAACCCAACCGAATCGGTTTTTGATTCATCCGGCTCTCTATCTATTGATACCAATGGGGTTCTCAAGATCACACAGGCAAATGCTTTCCCAATCTTGGTGAACCAAAGACCAGCTGGGCAACTTTCATCGGCCAGGAATGTGTCTGCCACTTTACTCGATTCCGGGAACTTTGTGGTCCGAGAGGTCGGGCCAGGAGGAGTCCCGGGTCGTGTCGTATGGCAAAGCTTTGACCATCCCACCAACGTGTTACTTCCCGGGATGAAGATTGGGTTTAATCTAAGAACCAAGAAAGAAGTTTCCATTACTTCTTGGATATCTAACAAAGTCCCACTCTCAGGAGCATTCAGACTAGGACTGGACCCATCAGGAGTTAACCAGCTGCTCGTCTGGCGCCACGGTGAAATCTACTGGTCTAGCGGAATCTTGACGAACAACGGAAGCTCTAAACTAACCTTAGAGCTATCCAGAAGCTACATTGATTATGATTTCAAGTTCGGTTCAGACAAGTACATGAAGTACTTCAGTTACTCTATCAAGAAAACTAATGCTTCAGTCTTGTCCAGCTGGTTCTTGGATAACCTAGGCCAAATCACTGTAACCAATGTGCTGAGCAGCAACACAAGCGAAAGTTGGATCTCTGAGGTCAGTGAACCCTGCAAGACGGATTTAAAGAACAGCTCAGCAATCTGCATCACGGAGAAGCCAACGGCTTGTAGGAAAGGATCGGAGTATTTCAAACCGAGAAGAGGATACATGATGGATAATGGTTACTATGATGATAGTTTGAGCTCTGGCCTTAGCGACTGCCATGGAAGCTGCTGGAGAAACTGTTCTTGCATAGCTTTCCAGACCTTCTCTAGTGGACAGTGCCATTACTGGGGAAAAGGGTCAAAGTTTGTCCCTTATGATAACTTCAACTTCGAACAAATAACTTATGTTCTTGATTCTGAAAAGTGATGTGTGGTTGTATGAGTGTTTATGTAACCGGACTACTAATATCAATAAATGGCTTTTTATCAAGAAACTAAGGAATCAAGCAGTTCAAAGACGTGCAACAACTTCCTCTCTTTGCAAATTGATTCAACCACAGCTCCCCAAGACTCAGGCTCTGGTTTGAAACCTATTCCCAGAAATCCAGTCAGAACTCGAACCCCGGTCTCTGCCTTCCCGGATCCGCAAAGCAGAACCACCAACTCGTTCCAAGTCGCATGGTGAGGCCAAACCCCTCTCTTGGACATCAAACTCAGAAACTCTACCGCTTTCTCAAGCTCACCACTCTTGCACAACGCATTCAGTATGATCCTATAACTGCCTTTGTTCAGATGAACTCCTTCGCAACCCCATTTACCCAGCAACTGAAGAGCTTCTTCTGCTCTTCCTTCGCTGGACAAGCCCCTGAGTATCACATTGCAAGTCAACGCATCAGCTCTGCATCCTGATGCTTTCATCTCTCCAAGTAACTCCATAGCCTCATCGACTTGACCATTCCTACAGAAGCAGTTCATCAATGTGGTATAACCAACTGTGTCGAGTTTCAACCCGGTTTCCTTCACCTCGTCAAAGATCAGCTTAGCTTCCTGAGTCTTTCCCTCTTTGCAGAACCCATTCATTAGAGCCGAGTAATTGTATACGTTTGGGGTGCATCCATTCTTCTTCATGAACTCTATAATCATCTTGGCTCTCTCCACTTCCCCTGCACGACAGAATCCGTTTATCATAACGTTGAAGGTCACTGGATCCGGCGAGATCCCTTCTTTCGAGATCATATCCTCGAACAGTTCCATGGCTTCTTTGGACCTCGAGTGTGCAAACAGAGAGTCCATTAAGGTCGAGTAAGTGACCAAATTGGGATAAGAGATTCCAGATCTCTTCATCTCCTCCACAACGTCAAAGGCAGACTCGATATCACCGTTCTTGCAGTGGTGCTTCACTAGAATGTTGAAGATGCAAGTGTTTGGCTGCAATCCAAGATTGTGTTTTGCATACAAGAGGAGCTTCCGTGCTAAATCGACCTCCCCTGAATCGATAAGGAGGTTGAGACAAGTGCTTATGGCGTTGAGAGAAGGCTTCACACGAGCAATCACTTGAATCAAGTCAAACATCTCCATCACTTTATCGTGCAGATCGAACCTGGAGAAATGTCTCATCAGGTTGAGGAACACACCTTCATGGAACCTGCAAGTCTCGTACTTCATCTGCTGAAGAATCGCATCGACAGCTTGAAGCTTCTTGTGCCTGACGAGATTATCCAGAAGAACAGAGTATGTAGCACTGTTGTGGTTGAAACCTTTCTGCTGAGACACTTTGTTGAACACATCAAGCGCACGCTGAGGATCTCTCTCGCGTTTGATCAGATTGAGAGCAGAGTCGTGAGAGATAAACTTTGTTTTGGGGTTTGCTTCCACATGCGAGATCGAGGTTTCGGGTGGTGGGTTTGGTTTCTTCTTCTCCGAAAAGCAAACTGGAGATACCCATGACCGTGATGACGACAGAAAACGGCGATGTTCATTGGCAATCGAAGTTGTGACACGCATTATCCCCCGTAATCAAAGAGAATCGACTGTAAAATTAGGTTAAGGAGATAAAAGGAAGCTGCTTGAAGACGAGTAGGAGAGAAGAAGACGGACGAGTGACGACGACGATGGTAGAAAACCGGTTCGGTTGAATCAAAAAATTATAAATCTCGGTACGGCACGTACGGTTCGGTTTAAAATGTGTCTCTTCTGGTTTATGTATGAACCAAATGTGAATTTTTCTGGTACTGACTTGCCAACAACAGCTGATAAAAAATTAGACTTCCCTTTGAAAATTTGCAGCTAGAGGTTTTGAAATTAACTGACCTATATAATTGTTCATATATTTCGACGGCAGAAGTTGCTTTCCTTGTTGGTTCAGAATCGATACTTTCCAACGATCAAGGACAGTGACCGCAACATGCTCTATGTTCTGTACATCAAAGGAACCACCACCAAGGTCAAAAGCAAGGATGTTCTTCTCATCACTATCCAGACCATAAGCAACAGCAACAGCAGCAGTGGGTTCGTTGATAGTTACGGCAGTATTGAGCCCATCAATCACACTAGCATCTTTGATAGCTGTTGCTTGTCCTAGAGAAAAGGTTGAAGGATACTCTTTTGAAGAATCATTCTCAAGTGGTTCATCTTCTGGGTTTACATTACTTCTCGGTCTTGAAACTGTTGGTTCAGGAGCTGCAAATCCCCCACATGAAAAACGATACAGAGAGTAGTCTTTACGCACACAAAGGTGCAGCTTCCATTGGTTTGACCACCTACAAGCGTAAAAGATGTTTTGAAGATGGGTGGGTTGTTAAAACCAGCTAACTCCAGCCTTCTGCGCCTTCCACCTCATGGGTTCGATGGAATCATCGTCCGATATCTGGGAGGTGATGTTTTGAAGAAAAGCCACTCATTGCAATGACCTGGCATCACTCCTTGCTCAACCAGATGCCATGGTCAGGTCCTAAACAAATCTTCAACAGAATCCAGATTCGGAATTCCAGGATTGACATCCCTGGCTTTGTTTAAGAGGGCAATGCTGCAAAAGAAGTCTATTTGATTCCAATTTAAGAATTTGTCGTAATAGCAGAAAGCTCTAGGTTGCTGAGAGAAGGATCCGGCCAAGTCTTGGTGTCCTTGGCAGTAATACACTAACAATGGTAACAAACTGAGATGACAACCGGTCAAACCACACCAATTCAGGTAACCCCTCACCGATCTGTAAGCACCCGGCTGAGCCGGAAGAGCGACTGCGATAACATGACCATTTTCCTGAAAGAGAGAGACCGCTTACAATAACGAATTAAAAATGGTAAAACGATGACGTTTTGATTCATGCCTTTTTTGCGGTTTTCGCGTAATTCAAACCCTAATTCCTAAATTTTCCCAGTACTTTTTGTGCGAATCTCGGTCGATCTATAAGAATCTTAGAACATCTGCATTAGTGAGAGACTCATTTGAGTTTCTCATCTAATATTTAATTATTATATTTAGTATAGTTTAGTTTTTGAATTAATTTTACGAAAACAAAAAATATTGAATCATTCACAATAAGACAAGTGTACCTAGAGTCTCTCATATGAGAGACTCATTTTATTCTCTCTCTTCTTTCTTTTTTATTTTATTATTTTTTTTAAGTTGAAAGACTCTTTGAGATACCTACAATGCATGTGCTCTTACTTCTAAATTTTTCCTTTGCGATTATCGGTTGATCTACAAGAATTTTCCAATCCTAATTCGCGATTCTGATCTACAAGAAACGCGATCTATATACAGTACGAGAAACTCACATTGTTGAGAAGTATGCGTCGCTTCTTCAAAGGACGTTGACGATCCTGATCCGGATCAATATATTTGCTTCGAGGAGAGAAAACCATGGAGAAGAGAGAGAGAATTATTGAAAGATAAACTTGATTTTGGATCAAGTTTAGATATTGGGCTAATGATCCAATAATATTTGGGCTAAAACCAATAATACTTGATCCAAATTCTAGTGTTTTCTCTAGAAAAAATCTGATATTCCCACCTCCTTAAAAGTTCTAGAGAATGGTAGAAAATAAATATCTAGAGATTTCTCTAGATAATTGTTATAAAATAATCTAGATATTAAGGTAGAATTCTCTAGATTTAGAAATAAAATATTTTAGATATTTTGTACTTTGGAGGCTATAAATAGCTACCTCCTCTCTCATTTTGTAACCAACAAGTTAAGAGAAATATTAAGAGAAGTTAAGTGAAGTTTCTAAGTCCTCTAAGTTCTAAAACTCTTCTGCTTCTTAAATTTTGTTCTTGTCTTTCAAATTCTTAAACACCTTAGCTATCACTCTTAAAAGTTCTTTCTTTCCAACAAAGTGGTATCAGAGCCAGGTTGATTCTCTTAAAGATGGCAAACAATGGTATTCCCTTCCAAGTTCCAATACTCACAAAGAGCAACTACGACAATTGGAGTCTAAGAATGGTGGCTATTCTAAGAGCACATGACGTGTGAGAGATTGTCCAAAAAGGTTTTGTTAAACCGGAGAATGAAGATAGTCTATCTCAAACTCAAAAGGATAGTTTGAGAGACTCAAGAAAGAGAGACAAGAAGGCTTTATGTGTTATCTATCAAGGATTAGATGAAGATACATTCAAGAAGGTCGCGGGAGCAAAGACGGCCAAAGAAGCATGTGAGAAGCTAGTCAAGAAAGTATGTCTTCAAACTCTAAGAGGAGAATTTAAAGCATTGCAAATGAAGGAAGGTGAACTCGTCCAAGATTACTTCTCACGAGTTCTAGCGGTTACTAATAACCTAAAGAGAAATGGGGAGAAACTAGATGAAGTGAGAATCATGGAAAAGGTTCTTAGATCGCTGGATTCAAAATTTGAACATATTGTCACTGTCATTGAAGAGACAAAAGACTTAGAGGATATAACAATTGAGCAACTACTAGGATCACTACAAGCTTATGAAGAAAAAAAGAAGAAGAAGGAAAACCTTGTAGAATAAGTATTCAAAATGCAAATTGATCAAACCAAAGATGGAAACGGTCAAAGTTATCCAAAAAAAGTGGCGGTCAAAAATGAGGAAGAGATTGTGGTTATGGAAATAAAAGTGGCTGGAGATTCTATGAAAACAAAACTAACCAAAAAGAAGAAAGTTCATGGGAGAAAAACTCCAAAATCAAAATACAACCAATCAAACGTCAAATCCTATAATTATGGGAAGTTCCAAACAACAACAAAGTTGAAAAAAAGTCCAACTATGCTGATATGGGAGAATTGCTTAACAGAGCAAAAGTCTTGTCTACGAAGTCT